TATGGGATATGGGATATCGGATAAGGGATATGGCGATCGATAATTTCGACAATTTCGATTATTTCCATTTATTTAATATTCGCGATCATTTATTTTGCAATAATGCTATCCGGTGCCCGAGAAATTATTTCATCGCTTAATTTATTCATGAAAAGTACGAACGAGGTTCAATTAACAAGAGTCTTGCATAAATCGATCGAATTGTTTAAGTTATTATATCGAACTCCTTTTGTTAATTAATTTATTATTTCTTGCTTCCTAATATTTGCAACAATTCTGTTTGATAGAAGTATGTGAAGCACCCCACTGGCAATTTTGCTATTTAATTTTCTAGCGAAAATAGCCGATAGAATCAAACATACAAAGTAATATTTCGAGCACAAAAGTTTCAAGAAATTGTTGCAGCAGACGAGGTTCGTTGATAAATCGATGGCTTTTCGAATAATTTAATATTAACGAGAATTGTTATTGCAAATGGTATTATTAAATAATCCCGTGGCTATTTCGTTGTAACATTTAGTAGCGGAGGTAATTAATAACGTCGAACATACGAAGTAATTTTTAAAGCACGAATTGATCGAAGAATCGTTACATCAAAAATATTCTATCGATGCATTTATTATTTCTAGCTGTTTTAATAATAATTAAGAGATAGTAGGTTTTAGAAACTATTCTATTTTTTAAGCCGTGCTACTCTTATACCTCGTCTGTGATATAATTAATAACAATAGAATACAAAATTTATAATTATATATGACTTATAAAAATTTATAATTCTTATAAATTTGTCATCTATAATATATGTATACATTATTGTTCAAATTGTAAAGGCTAATGGGAGAGAGAATCTATTATATATAATATATAAGTATAATATATATAATATAGTATATAATAATAATATATATATATATAAGTAGTATTTATAGTATAGTTACTATTATATAATAGTAATAGTAATAGTTATATATATATATACTGGTCTATCCACCAGATAATAAAACAAATAATTACTAATGATAGCACAGACGAGGTATAGGCACGGTCACCTCGTCAGTGATACTGCGTCCATGTACAGGAAAAGTGTTTTGAGAATGAAGACACTTTGGACACGCATTTCAGTCATCGAACTCCAAACACAACATCTCGTCCGTGCTAACATCGCACGAGACAAGCAAAAAGCTAGAACCAGGTGAACGACCTACTCCGATACCAGATTCGCGTAAACTCCGCCGGGCAAGAGACGCCGGCAAGCTAGATAGCCTCCGTACCAACGCGGAAGGAAGCGCCAGGCGTTCCGTTAGTCGCGCGCGTGTGCAGTGCGGTGTGCCGTGTTCTGTTAGGCGGCGATCAGCGGTGCGGATGCGTGAACGGTTGTATAGATGAACTTGAAGCCGAAAGGGGAAAAGGTGTGCGAGTGTAGACTGTGCGGCGGCGGCGTTGAGGATCGAGCGAGGGTAAGCGGGTCGGCATTGGTAAGCGCGATTAGCCGAAAACGCGCAGTCGCGCGTTGATCCTGTCGGGTGGGAGGTGATCAGCTGTGAGCACGCGAGGAACGAAATGTTCGTCCTGCAAAGGTCTATATTGTGAGTACCAGCAAATTTTTCATTGAAAATCTCCGTTATAGAGGTGCCGTTTAACCCGCCTAGATTCGCCGTAAAACTCGGTTTCAGACGAACCGGTGCGTGATAACACGAGCGCACGCACGTGCGCGCCGATTCGATTCGCCGCCGCGAGAAGTGGAAAGAGAGTTGTGTTGTTCGAATACGCGAGAAGGGCCGTGGGTAACCTAGCTTCTACCGCAATGCAGTGCTGAAAATAGGAACGCGTCGGGAACTCGCAGATCGATACCAGGCCACCGTTACCGTGCGTTTCGTGGGACAGTGCCAAACACAATAGTTACCGTGCCCGACACGGCCAGGTGCTACGGAAAATTTTGCACCCTTAGGGCTACTGTGTTGCGATCTATCCTCCAACGAGTCCTATCGTTCTCCTCTCTGGATATAGCCCAGGGGACGCTCTTTCTCTTCCAGCCCCTACGTGCACAGCAAACTCGGCCTTTCTCTCTCTCCGAGAACGTCGACCCGCCGCGATCCTACCGATTTCACGCGAAACCGCAAAATTCGACGAAAAAGGGTTCCGTGTCTGGCGGAACTCGCCCGGATACGTGAAATAAAGACGAAACGTTCCTATAGGAATGCTTTCAACATAGCGGTACGATCTACGCTTTTGGAGCAGTTTTCGGTTTAATATTAGAAAATCGTCTACGGTAGAACTCCGTTTACATGACAGCTGGTTGCATATCTGGGTCGCCGGTGTAACAGGGAACCACCCAGTTCTCCCTGATACCTAATTTATCCGTTCGGATAATTACGATTCACGTTCATCGTAATCTCTGATGTTGTATTTATTTTATGACGGAGATGTATTCACGTTCGGATAGAGTGTATTCTGTTAATTAGTTTCGTTAATCTACACGTGAAATATTGACCTCGAGTGATCCCAGCTTCTTGGACGTATAACTGTCTTATAGTGCATGTTAAAACTCAGAATAGATACAGTATGTTCAACGGAGGTCGGTTTAAAAAATGAAAGGACACTTTTCCACCGCTCTAATACTTATCTATTATTATTATAATACTTATATAGATAAGTATTATAATAATAATAGGTTATGTACTACTTACTTATCTATATAAGTATTATAATAATAATAGATAAGTATTGGAGCGGTGGAAAAGTATCTTTTCATTTTTTAAAGCGACCTCCGTTAAACAATAATGATAATAGTATTATCATTATTGCATAATATACAATAATGATTAAAAAATATAAATGATAAAAATATTGAAACAAATCAGCGAAGATCTAATTTATTTCTCGTGGAATCGGATCGAGTTTCTGCACGACAACGAAAATGAATGCGTCGACAATTTCTAACGCGTTCAGCAAACTCTCACCCCTTTAAGCCTAAATTGTATTGCTCTAGCAATTTCAGCCTCGTCGCGATAGCTCGGCAAAACTCGTGCGAGGAGTTTGTGTGCATAATAAAATTGGCTTTCGAATTAGAGAACCGGTGTTGAGCACTCGAAAGGGTTCGCAATTTCACGGGCAAAGCGATAAGAGCTCGGCGGGCGTTCGGTGCGATCGAAGACCGGCTGAAATTTCGTTCGAATAAATGAAGTTCTACCGGAGTATTGATTCTGCCTGGCGCTGTTGTCGTAACGAGATTTCCCATTGATCGTGGAAAGCATTGTTACGAAGCGTGATGCCACAGCGCCGGCGATATCTAAATTGTCGCAAAAATGCGATAAATATCTAAATAAATATCTAAATAATATATCTAAATAATATATCTAAATATATATATAATGCGATAAATATCTAAATAAATATCTAAATATATATCTATATATATTGAGATATATTATTAATGCGATAAATAAAATATATATAAATATTATATAAATATTATATAAATATTTATATAAATATTTAGATATAAATTTAGATATTTATCGCATTTTTGCGACAATTTAGATATCGCTGGCGCTGTGGCACCACAATTAGATATCTATTTATTTAGATATATCTAAATATATATCTAAATAAATATCTAAATAAATAGATATCTGAATTGTCGCACACATGCACCGCGGATCGATCTATTTTCGTAACCTCGCGAAGTCGAGCGTTCTTTTTCCCGAGATTCCTCGGAAACGTGTGACGCCATTTTCGTTAAGAGCCCGCGAACGAGCGTCTTCTTTCGATCGGATAACCTGCGTTCGTTCCATTCATACGAACGGAACACCTTCGATTAACACCGGCGAAACTATTGCCAAATAGAACGACGGAGGATTGTTTATTCTCCTTTCATCGCAGTTTCGCAAATTAACAGTGTATACGTCTACCGTGCGATATTAATAACGCTATCTGTATACAAGACATTACGATGCAATTATCTCGCACACCTGCTAATTGCCAGTTTCATAGATACGAAGCGGTGCAAGTCAAACATTTATAGAGTATATTATTTTTACGAGCTGTTTGTGCGCGAGATTAAATAGCGATGCACCCATTGTTTCGAAAGACGAGCGCCGCACGGCGAGAAGCTAAAATAAAGAAGCTAGAAATACAGAGGCAACGGTTTGTTAAAAAGATGTTTAGTCGAATTACTCTTCTTTTTCCTCGAGGTTTTCGTCGATGGTCTCTATGTTGTATCGGCGAATGTGTTCGTTTTTACGCGAAGCTAGCAGGAAAAGCACGAGCGAGAGAAGTCCGTGTCGTTTCCCCGTGAAGGATGTTGTATCATTTACGTCACGTTTCGTCATAGGGAATCTTTGGGAATGACGACATTCATCCATACGTCCCGTGTCACTTCATGCCGGTGATGTTATGTCGGCGCTTTACGTAACGCGTTAAATCGACTAACTTACATAATATATGCTAACCCATGGTTTTGTTGCTCGGATCGAGGAAAAATGATCCGGCTATATTTACCTGGCTATTTAGAGTGCGCTAAAAAGCCCCATTAAACCGCATCGTCTGTTCAAGATAAATGAACAATTTCAATGCAATGAACAATATCACTTCTTTTCTTAACCGCAAGTCGGCAAGCCTACGAATGAAAACTTCGTTAGTCTTCAAAAAAAAAAGAAGAAAAAGCTAACTCAGTTGCAACAGAAATTGCATTATTTTTGCGCCAGTGTTTTCAGTAATTTCGATATTATTTAATCAAGATTTCGTTTCTGGTTACATTTTGCTCATATATTGTTCAGCTTGCGACATTCTATACTGTGTTAACATCTTTATCGTCAAGTTGGAAATTTCATTACGAGATTAGAGAGTATTAATTAAAGTGGCGATGGAAAGTAGGACTGGATAGTTTGTCCAACGCGTTACGATACCTATTTAATGAGCTGGTAGAAATTAGATACTTCCACGCAGGAAATTGATGTCACGTGGGTCGTGTAGGTGCACCCATTTAGTTGATGAAGAAGCTGTGACGATCAAGGCCACGAAGGAAAAAAAAATACCCAATCCCGCAGGCGAACACGTAAAAACCAGTTTCAACGCTGTGGCGCGAAGACGGTATACTTAAAATTCAAACTGTCTGTCATTTGCATTAGAAGTGGACATTATCGAGTACACTTGAATCAAATTGTACTAGCCATGTACTACGAGAGTACCAGACAATCTTATAAATAATATAAATCTCGTTTCTGCAAAAATGAAATACAAAAATCGCAGTCGTATTTTGTATATTTTATAAGAGTCTAATGATTATAATTAGACTGCGGATCTGTGTAAAAAAATAATATTCGTCTGCATCGACTCAAAGGAACGGAAATTATCTGAATTATCGGAAAATGATCGGAAATTATCGGAAATTATCTCTTATCTGGATAATTTTATTCAATCGAGGACAATGCAAAAATAGTTTTACGAGCTACGACTGTACAATAAATTCTCCCTAATTTTTCTTCAGCTTGTAAACAAAAGTGAACAATTTGAGAAGAGGAGATACGATTATTCGAGCCTTGCACCTCGTTCTTATAATTATTCGCAATCGGCAACTCTAAAAATGAGCTGCGAGGCTCAATATTTGTTTAAAAACTGAAGGAAAATTCGGGAGAATTTACTGTATTTTGTTACTTCTTCTTTCATAAACGCGAAAAAGATATTCGCTCGAGAATCGACCTATCCTTTTGGAACGAAATCAGTTGTTCGAACATATTTTTCAAAGTTACTCCTATAAACCTGGCCGATTGCCGCCGATGTAATAATAGATTGCCCCGTTCTCGTTCAAACATGAACTATTGTGATTTCACGGCTATGTTTCTTGTTAATGTCTGTGACTACGTTCCATTAAGATTATCGCACGATAGTTTTACAAGGTTGCGCGTAGCTCCTGAAAACGGTAATTGTTTAAACTAAGTTTCCGGTGTTATCTCCACATAGTTACCGGAGGCAATCAATTGCAGTCATGTGCTTGATTCCCCGCTTTGGTTGTAACCAGATCGAACCGATAGCCGCTCGTTGCTCAATACCGTGTTGTTATCTATAATGTATCGTTAATCGATTAATTCTGTTCGATCCCGGCACATGATAAAATGAGTCACGCACATCGTATTTCTGCAATGCTCATTCGAGGAAGTCGTTCATCGTATTCGCGTTTAGCTGGAAACAGTAATAACTAGGCTGCGGATCTTTATGCAAATTCTCATTTTCATTCGCCGTTTTACAAAAATTTCGAATCAAAGAATTGTGTTTCCTTCGTCGAGACTGAAAGACTGCTCGTTATAAACAGAAAATAAAAATGCTATCACGCCTTGTTGATTTAGACGTTTTCTTGTACTTTAGAAATCTGCACAAGCCATAAATGCATAAAGATTCGCAGTCTAGTGATAATTATTCAGATATTTACACAAAAACTGAGTAGAGCGCAAACAATACAAGGAAATTATTTTAAGAAATCTACGCGGATGTAGTTACTCTATGTTGCAATTAATACAGACGATTTTTATCCTGCATAAAAATTCGCGGTTCGGTGATAGCTTTGCAATTTGCAATCCTAAAGCGTGTG